GCTCTCACTGCAATTGGGATTCGGGCATTGAATGACCGTTGATCTCCATTCGCGCTTTCAATCATTCCCAACGAGTCTACATCAGTATGCGATTGCAGTGCGAGCACAGAGAGATTATCATTGTTCAGTATTCACCGAAAACATTGAAAATTATAATGGGAACCTGTTCGGACTACGCATTCTCTTTGTGCGCATGTTTGGAACAAAACATTGTTCGCATAAAACCCAAAACCATTCATGAAGATGAATAATTAGTAATTCATAATAATAAATAAAGTATTCTAATATTTTTACTACAATTGGCAGATTAAATCTTTTAATGGGGTCTAAACAACTTTACAATTGTAATTTGTACTAATTTATTTATTTTTTATTCGCCGTTTGCCCGTTGGACGCTTAGACCTTTGAGAATAACGCATCGCAAGTAATTTTGGATTCCCTTGATTACATGGAGTCCGGGGAGTTTGCCTACGTTCAACAAGCCCATCCGTTTCCAATGTACGGCCGTCGAGTCTGAATGAACATATTGTGTTCCCAGTGCCTGCGTAAGAATAGGAAGTGTTTCTAAGCGGTAGGTAATCGAGGTTGGAAGGCACAATTTTCTACCTTGTTAGTTCCGGTTCGTTTTGGCGCTCCCCCTGGTGGCAATATGTGTACCCGAGTGGCACCAAACCGGTTCGAACAGTTTCGTGTTTCAATGCTTACCTCGTATGTTACGCAAGCTTTTACATGTGATACGTGTACGTTTCTTTGGAAATCAGAAAAAGTTAAAAACGAAAAAAAGGCGCCACAAGTCTAAAGTGGAAGTTAACACAGATTTTCTATGTTGCACAGTCCATAGGGAAATTTCAGTAGAGAGACGTTTCTTGCTGCTTCATTTCCAATCGATGCAAATAAGTTAGAATAACCTACGCGATGGCAGAAAACTCAGCCGCAAGAAGATTTGGAAAACCTGACGCACGCATGCATTAATATCAACGAGGCGCTAAGAAAACCGCCGAAGAAAAAGAAAGCAAGAGTAACAAACGAAACGCAAATAAAAGAGAAATGTAAAGAGACGAGAGCCAAGTTGGAAAGAATCCGCAGAACGTCAAAGAAAGCAAATATAAATGCCAAATAGAGCAAACTCGACACTAAAGATAGCTAAGGAACGCAAAAAAGTTGTGAATAACCGCAAATAGAACAGCAAATATTGAAAGAAAACAGAAAGAATAAAATCCCTCGGAAGCATGTAAGAAAAATACAAATACTTTTAACTTGGAATCAGTTGGGAATGTAGGCAAACGCAAAGACACAAAAAAGACTTATTTGAAATATAAAAAGAGACAAACAAACGGCGTAAACCTTGAACTGACAAATGTATTCACGAAACAAGATGTTGTACACCGATTTGCATGTTAAAACAAATGCAACAACGAAAAAAAAACAACTTGGAAACGACAGAAAACGAGCAGTAGTAGACGCGTATTGCAAAAAGAAGGCGACTAAGTGCGGAGTATAGAAAGAAATGAAAGCAAACGAAGAAATAATCTGTTTTTTCAACTCGTAAGATGCAAGCCGGCAGCGTGTTTGGAAAACTTTCGTAATTTACACTCTTTAAAAGAAACTGCTTCTCATTGTTCTCTTCAATTCAATTCTTCAGATGATATATGCATCTGTACTTTAGTAAAAATCGAATTCTAAAGATCAATGATCGTTTTTTTTTTTTTTTAATTTTTGTATAAAAATTATACTCATTAAAATATTCCAGCAGAACGCTGATGCAAATGTCTTTTTTTTTTCAACTGAGCAACGTTTCTGCGGACAATGTAATTGCAAGCTACTACAATGTGCGAAAAACGCAGCGAGAACTCAATTAGCTGGCGAAACAGTTTGTCGAAGCAATCAAGCGAATTTTTGTTCGTAGCGCAAGCAAATATACACAATATATGCATAGAAAAAAAAAACAACCATAGTGTCCGCAGTATTTTTATATAAATAAATGAAATCGTGTAAATTGGAAAACGTTTCAATTTACGCTTATAAAAGATTTAAATTAACAAAATCCTTTGTTTCCGCTTCATTCAAAAAATATATTCGATTTACTAGTTGTAATAAAGCCTTATGTACATTCCATCCAGGTGACAGGCCGTTGCAGTATCAATATGTTTGCGCATGTTTTAACATTTTCAACTTTCATTCCGCGCAACATATTTCTCGCACGGCGCGCACGTTAAACAAGCTTAGGGGCAAACGAGAGCAATTACCGCGTATTAATGGCGCCGCTTCTAACGCTAACATTTTCAACTTTCATTCCGCGCAACATATTTCTCGCACGGCGCGCACGTTAAACAAGCTTATGGGGCAAACGAGAGCAATTACCGCGTATTAATGGCGCCGCTTCTAACTTCTAACGCTTCTAAAGAGGATAAAGATGAATTCTATGACATCCTCGAGAAAACTATAAAAGACGTAAACAGCGGTGACATAAAAATTCTCATGGGCGACCTTAATGCGAAAGTAGGCGCTCAAAACGAGAATTTGGAAGAAATTATGGGAAAAAACGGCGTTGGGCAGATTAACGAAAACGGCACATACTTCACACAGTTCTGCTCCAACGCGAACCTGGTAATAGGGGGTACGCTGTTCCCCCACAAACAGATTCACAAGACAACGTGGGTCTCGCCAGACAAAAAAACCCACAACCAAATCGATCATATCACAATCTCTAGGAAATGGAGATCGTCATTACTCGATGTGAGGAACAAGAGAGGTGCTGATGTAGCCAGTGACCACCACCTAATAGTTGGCACATTGAGAATAAAACTAGCAGTACCCAAGCAACCAGCCGATATGAAACGAATAAAACTAAATATAGAGAAGCTACGCATTCCACAAATAGCAAAATCCTTCAAGGAAAAAATGCAAGAGACAATAAACCAAAAATCAGCACAAAATGGGAAAATATGGCCGACAACATCATTGAAGTCGCCAAAACAACAATTGGAGTGAAAAGCAGGCAAAGGAAAGAATGGATCAGCGAAAACACGTGGTTGCTGATAGAAGACCGAAAGAGGAAAAAACACCTGCTACTCCAAAATCTTTCGCAAGAATATAGGGCAGCGGCACAGGTAGAGTACACAGGCCTTTGCCAAAAGGTCAAAAGGGAAGCCAGAAGAGACAAACGCAGGTGGATAGATGATATTTGCAGACAAGCAGAAGAAGCAATGCTCAACAACAACTCGAGAGAACTTTACAACCTCACAAAGAAACTGGCCAATAAGTACTCTACACGCACACACTTCATTAAGTCAAAAAACGGCCGCCTGTTAGTTGAGTCAGACAAGCAGCTCGAAAGATGGAGGAACATTTCTCCGACATGCTCAGCGCAAACGAAACAATTAACTGGGAGCCAGAGAATAACCCAGGTAGACAACTGAACATTGACTCGAACCCGCCTTCAGTCGCGGAGATAACTGCAGCTATAAAGACGCTTAAGAACAACAAAGCAGCAGGAGCTGATAACGTTCCAGCGGAACTACTAAAAGTAAACGCCACATGGATGGCAAATGAACTATACCACTGTATTAAGGAAGCATGGAACAACAACAAGATTCCGACCAAGTGGAAAGAAGGGCTAATCATCAAGCTTCCCAAAAAAGGTAACTTGACCGAGTGTAACAACTGGCGTGGCATAACGCTATTAAACACAATTAATAAGATTATCGCGAAAATCGTCCAAACAAGATTAGCGGAAACTATAGAAAACACCCTGCGCCCGAACCAAGCAGGTTTTCGGCCGAATCGCTCATGCATCGATCATATCAATACCCTTCGTATAATTATCGAGCAATCAGTAGAATGGCGATCACCACTATTCATCGCCTTCATCGACTTTGAGAAAGCATTCGACAGCCTGAACCACGACGCTTTATGGAGGATCCTTAAGTCGCGAGGTGTACCAACAAAGATAATAAGCATCCTGCAAGAACTCTACACTGATGCAAACTGCAGTGTGTTACACAACGGTGAAAAAAGCGAAAGTTTTACGATACACAGAGGAGTAAAACAAGGATGTGTCATATCCCCATTACTATTTAACATCGCCTTAGACTACATACTAGCAAAGGTAGACCAGAACAGGGATGGGTTGCGCTGGACACTAACCTCGCACCTCAGCGACCTGGATTACGCCGACGACATCTGCCTGATGTCACATACGTTCGAAGGCGTGAGCCGACAGCTAACAACATTAGCAAGGGAGGCAAGTAAAATTGGCCTAAGAATAAATATTGCCAAAACAAAAGAAATGCGTATAAATACAAACAACACCTTAAAACTCCAAATAGATAATACGGAAATAGAAGAGGTCAAGGAATTCCTATATCTAGGAAGTATAATTGACATAAAAGGGGGGACCGACGCAGATATAAACAACAGAATAAAGAAAGCCCAGCAATCCTTCAGAATGCTGAGCACAGTATGGAAGTCAAGCGTCTATACACTAAGAACAAAACTGCGCATATTCCGCACAAATGTAAAATCCACCCTTTTATATGGATGCGAATCATGGAGGTCAACGAGCTCAAGCACACACAAACTCCAAACCTTCATAAACAAGTGCTTGAGAATGATCTTGCGCATATTCTGGCCAATGACAATCTCCAACGATGAGTTGCACCGTCGATGTGATGAAACTCCCATTATAAATCAAATACGCAAGAAAATGGGGTGGATTGGGCACATCTTGAGAAGAGACGCCGGAGATATCGCCAGAAATGCGCTAGAATGGAACCCACAGGGGAAGAGAAGGGTTGGTAGACCGGCCAATACCTGGCGAAGATCCACAATAGAGGAGCTCCGAAACCAAAATATGGGCTGGAACGAAGCAAAGGCGGTTGCCCGAAACAGAGTCCGTTGGAGGGCGCTTAGTGAGGCTCTATGCTCCACATAGGAGCCAAGAACATTATATATATAATGGCGCCGTAAATTGTTGCACAGCGTGTGGAGTGAGGACTTACCTGGCATTCGTAGGTGCCGTTGTCCCGCTTCTGCACGTACTTGATCTGCAAGGTCCAGTCATCCGCGCCCTCGGCGTGCAGGACCTGGAATCGCTCGTCGTTGGTGTAGGGATACATGCCGGACGACAGGATGTGCCAATCGCGGCGGCGCACCCACGATATTTGCTAAAAACAACAGAAACATTATTTGAATTATTAAAGAGTAAACCAATGAAGTACATGTTTAATTTTTTTGGTGTCAAAAAGTAATTAATCTCTGCTTTGATAAGCAGTATTGTTATTGATTCAACTGGGTATTATTATATTGAATATATTGATCAATATATTTAATAAAGTTATATCTTGAGAAAGTCGTGAATGTAATCAAAAAGAAAATCATAATTAATGACTAAAATAAGAATACAATATTATTGTTGTTTGCTCAGTCGGCGAGTTGTTGAGCCGACGCGGCGAACGCACAAAGGATAATTATCATCACAAAGTGTTCCGCTCTGTTTTTGGACACGGATTTCGTTTGTTCCGGCGCGCTGGTCGCATCGCCCGACTTCGCTAATAGGGTTGCTGCGCCGCCTTGCTCGCGGAGATTGAGATACTAATTTGCATGTTAAAGAGATGACGGATTTGCTCGCTGCTTTCGCGACGGAAACGGGTACTATGGATGCGTCGCGTCGGGTATCTGGCGTTCGATGCCTTTCTTTAGAGGGTGGATATATGTATGCGGATTTCAAATACCGTAGACCCCGCCGTGGAAGAAGAACGGGCATCTCCTTGGTAGTTATTTAAACGACGAAATATCTGAGATGAGAACGAGTCATCGTCGCGGGGTGTGTCGCTCAGCACAAGAACGACGGTGCCATCACGCAGGATGAAATGACTCAACGTTGAATGTTCGTCGTTTCCTTCGCCTCCATTGCTTCCGAGCGCTGGCAGAAACGCGTTATGACCTTAAATGATGCTCGATATATGCCAATTTCTTAAAATTGCACCAATAATACCGATATTTTAAATGATTTCGTACTTTTCATTTTTTTAAACTCAAAAAACAAAAGAAATAATGAAAAGTCTTTCTACTTTACTTGTTATTAAATCGTGAGTGATTACTGCATTGCTATCGATCACAAATATCTAAACAAATAAAAAAGACACTGTTAGATTTATGATTTTAATTTGTAAATATTGAAAGTTTTTAAATTTATTATCGCCATTCTTCATATCCATTCATTTCGTGAAAAATGGAATAATATAATATAACAATGTTGAAATATAAAATAAAAAAATCGCTTTCTCGCCATTTCAAATGGCGTTTTAAGCGTTAGGGAGCGATCAGAACAATGAAATATCGACGTGTATAAATCAGCAGTCGAAGAAGATGATAATCCAAAAAGAAAGATGCAAAAAGATGGAAAATTGTTGAACAGACAGAGTAAAACAATGAATATTGCGTACATTTTTTATGTCATCACATAATACTGAGAATTTCGATACTGGTAATCGGTTTATTCTCAACGTACCAATTTTAAAACCTCTCCGAATATAATTTCTTCAATTAAGTATAATTCTAAGTAATTTTAATTAGTGCTACAAGTTTTAATTGCATTTTTTCTCCACTTATAACAAAAAATAATAATTTACAGAAATCTATATAAAAATCAATTCAAAATTCTTATTTTCATGTATTACACAATAAATATGTATAGTTGGACCATAGCAACCAGTAACTTAGCAATGTTAGCAAGCCGTCCACTCCGACGGCCATTAATCATGTTTTCAACTTTACGTTTTGACTTTCCACCCCCTTTCGCGCTAAGGCCCCGGACCCGACAGCATGCCGACACATATTCACCAGACGGTGCAGTTGAGCATTAACTAGTTAACCAGTCAACAACCATAACCCGAAAACCATCGCCGCTTTGGGCTTTCCAGAGCTTTAGTTGTTTCGCAGGTTCAACTTTTGCATTCAGCCAGCAGTGGCGAATCACAACTTGCCACAGTTGTGTCACCAGTTCGACGTTCACACAGAGAATGCCAGCGCCAAACAATAGGCGGGGTGCAACTAGTGGCTTAGAACTTTGATTGAAATAACTTTTTCATAAATACGCAATGGAGTTTATTTTATAATTAGAACCTGCTGGAGATTATATTTCATATCACAATACTCATATTGTGGATGTACCACTATATATCACAACATAATAACAGTATTGATATAACTTTTGATAGCAAAAATTATAAATTCGCATGTAGATAATTCAGTTACTTAATATTAATATTAATGTTCATGCTAAAAATACCCCGCAGCAGTTACATGGCAAAAACATAAACGGTTGACGCACGCACTTAATCCCTTTAACGTATCAGGAAGTTCTGGAGATGCGGGCGATGCGGCATTAGATGGTTAAAGCTTTAATATCGCCTTGATGACAATACGTGTGCCCACATTTTGTCGGCCCGAGAAAGTTGCCTATCGACTTTGGTGACTTTCCGTTAATTTCCACTTCTTAAGCGAAAACAGAGGCGTCGCGGCTAACACCGCTCATGCAAATGCCGTCCCGATAAAATAACAACTACGCAGGCCAACAACAACAAACCAGCACCAACGCAAGGGACCAAAGCGAACAACAAGAAGTATGGAGGGACCACAAACGGTTAACGGTCGCTAACGCGTGCACCAAAGAGTGAAGAAACGGGTCGTCCTGTCGTAAAACATTTTAGGATCGTTTAAGGTTCGTGCTTTTAGAACTTTCCGCCTGTAACTAACATCGTGTTGAAAAAAATTTAAACATCGTAAACTTTTTTTGCGTGTCTATCAATTTAATTATTTAGAAATTCTAAATAACAGAAGATTACGGTTGTCGTTTTATTTTTATGGATTAGAAATGAGCGTCTGAGAACAATTTGAATATCATGTCCTACCCCACAAACATTTCGTGTGCGTTTGGAAGGTGGCGGCCCCGGACACAGCCGAAAATCAGACGCACGTTTCGGAAGCACCGAGAAAACTTCGTGCGCTCCCGGGGTATTGATTTCAGTGCCGAAGGACGAGGTCGCATCCGCGCCCCAAGCACCCGCCGCGCCGCCAAACCAAACAGATGAAAGAGGACAGAATTGCGCTCGACGTTCCTTCATGTTCGGGTGCCATTACGAGGACCCCGCCTGGTGGGCAGTAGCCGGTGTGGCGCGACACTGGTGTGTGCTTTTTATAGAAATGTTATGAAGTTGCTGGTTGCTGGAAGTAACTTATACGAGCGCGCTCAGCAAGAAAATTCTGGTGTGAGGCCCGGGTTGTACGAATCGGTAACCTATATGATTCCCTTTTTGCGATACAACTGGTTGCCTAGATGCCAACGGTTATTATGTGTGAGCATTGTGTGTGGATGGTTTTCTGCGTTTTACGATTATGCTTCTTTCGGTGTACAAAAGTACAGACCATAAACTTTTTCGATTACAAAATTCAAAAATTTGCAACATTTTTAAATAATAATCGACATATTTATGGGAATGCATTATCTCGAACACGATTTGTATTTTCGATTTGTAAATAAATGTCACTCACAAATATTCTTTTTGCGGTATAGTTGCTTTGGGGGTTATTTTGGTTATTTGGATAATATTGTACGCTCGTGTGCCACAAACTGGAATGCATCGAGATTGCCACACACATAATATTCGATTTGTGCATTTGGTTGCATAAAGCGCAAGCGACGTTTACGATGCCAACGGGACCACGGCAAGCGACGCGCCCCAGGCCACTGGCAACCGCCGCCAACGCAAAAACTCAATAACTGTTTAGCGATATGCACATTTATGCGCATTTGCTACCACTTCTGGTGGTGCGTTCTCAGGTCGACATCGAAAGCGAAACACATATGTTCGCAACTTCGTGTCAGCGTTCGTATCACAAGTGATGCTGTTTTGTTGGTTGTATACATCGATGTGATGAGCAATATGCATGCATGTTGAAAGCTACTCAATATACACAGTGTCCAAAGAAATACTGCATTATGCATTTATTTTCATTGGATAAACAAAACTTTTATGCATTTTACAGAAATTGTGTTGACACTCGGTGGAAAAACGTAAACAAGGACATACATGAATGAATACGTATTGGGAAAACACGATGTGGATGTGGAGTGGCACGAAGCGCGCTGCATATAAATATGAAATAAACGTTTGTACATTGGAAGCGCGTTGCGTTTGCCGCGACGTTAGCAACTTCGTGACTTTATTTCCGGTTGCGGTGTGTTGCGCTGGTGTTTTAACACTCATACGCGAGATTCGCAGTGCAACCACCAATAACGCCGACTATGTTTGTTTGGAGGCTTTCGAGGTTTGCCAGGATGCGTTCTATGCACTTTTCCGAGAGCGCAAATCGAACGAATCGCGGGCGAGTACACAAATAGATGTGAGAAACGATCCGAAACAAATTGCAATTGAACCAACTGTCTAAATATTTGAATTTTGGCGTAAAATTCAAAAATTTGCAAAAAAGCAGCTCATTTTAATCATTCAATGTTTTTCTATTTTCCTACAACTTCTGTAAGCGGTGCAAAAATATTGGAAACTTGGAAAACATGGGGTAGAATAAGGAAATATGAGACTCGCACCGGAGATTTCCGCAAAGTCGTACGTCCCGCGTTTCTAGGAAAAAGGCGACTTATGGCCTACTTAACCTCAAGCCCAACCCTTTTTTTGTTGTTTTCGAGAACACACAGCCACTATATCTTTGCTTCTTGGTTTTCTGGAGAGCATGCAGAAAGGAAGTTGCATGAAAATTACATTGCCAAAAATAAAACAGAACACTATGAGCTCTGCACACGCTTTTAATATGTAATGCGTGAAATTATTGTAGGTTTTCGAGCCTGCATAATATAAAATTATTTAGTTCCTACAAAAATTGAAACTATTCCGCTAAGCTGAACTTGACTCATAGAAAAGTAGGCAGACAAAAGAGGAGACCTAAAGTGTTGCATACTATAATAGCTCCTCCCTCTCCATTTATACCTGCGGACCACCAGTAAAAAGTGGTGAGGGTAAGAGTTCGAGTGGAGCAACCCGCGCAGCAGGGCTTGCTGGTACCAGACATTCGGCTTCCCCACCACTCTTTGCGGGTTGTCCGCAGGTATAAAAGGACCGGGCACTGTGCGCTGTCCATACTCTTTACGACCTTCACAACATGACTCATGCTACTTGCTTGGCGAATTGTTTTGCCCAACAAAGTTTAATTTACCAATTAATAACGCTTTTCACAAACAAAAACAGAATTTTCTTGTTACACTTCAATGTGTAAACTGCAAAATTGATTTCTAAACATTACCGTAAAACTTTTCTTCGAAAAATTCTATATTTATTTCCATCGCAACGTTCGCACAGATGTTATTTATTATAAGTTACACCCGTTCTATATAGCTGTGATCTGAATTCTATCCAATGCCTTTCAAAGTCTTTCTCTCCTTTGTTTTGTCCTTTACTTTCTTTCTGCCAAGAACGTCTTCAACTAAATCCTTAATACGTCTCTCTGAATGTGTGTGTTTGGCCCACATGAGTTTTCCTGCGTTCCTCTTACATTAGCTTATATCAACATAGACCCATGATATTTACGCGTTGGAATCCTTTGTTTTCATCACCACGTTGACTGCTTGAGAGTTATAAAAAAAACTTAATATAAAAGTTTACTTTATATGCTTAGATATGCGCCGACGTTTCACATAAATAACAGGCACTGGGATCCAAACAGAAAACAAACAATATTTTCGATATTGCAGGTAATATCAAATTTTATTTTATGACGGCAGGCTCTAAGGACTGCAATAATATCCTATTGTTTCTTAGACTTTTTTATATTAAATTTTGTGTTGAACATTATTCATTTTTTGGCAAAGTAAAATTTTAAAACCGCCACAACACAGTAACTCAAGGTACCTAATCATATACCTACTATATTGTTATGACAACTCTCAACACACATTTTCAATATTTTTACCGTATTAATGTAAAAACAGAATATTAATATCGGAAATATTCTGTAATTTTGATTTTAAAATTCGTGAATTTATAATTTCATCATTATATCAATAATTTACAACATTGTGTCAATTTTACAACAGCAGCGTTGTACATTTTCCAAATAATTAGTATTTCGTGTTAATTAAATCGTGCTTACCTCTGTTCCAGCCAGCGTTCGATCATTAGTATTCCTGACATGGCAGTGCAAGTAAGCCGTAGCGCCTAATTGTACCGTGACATTCGAAACAGTGTTATTCGTTTCCCCACCCAAAGAATTTTCCGCCTTGGCATAATCTTCCCCGAAGTTTGGGTACCACAGTTGACGCCATTCGGAGTATTTTTGCATATCTCGTTTTCCTGCAATAAAGAGAAAAATCATTGAATTTAATTTTATTTTATTCAAAACAGTAGTGAAACGAAAAAAACAAGTTATATAAAATCGCTTTAAATTTCGGCCTGCATTTTGTATGAATCGTGCCTATCGGTGTGCATAAAATGCGAATAAAAACCACCGCGATTTACACGCAAAGGGCGCGCGCGAAAAAAGTGAAGCAAAAGGGGAAAATACACGCGCAATGCGAACAACGGTGAGGGCTTAATTAAATTTAATTAAACCGTTTTGCAACGCGCGCACAGAGCGCATCGCGCCGCAACAGCACAACGAGCAAAGCGTGGAAAATACTATACGGTCATCCCTAGATTACACCTAGAGTGTCATTCTTTATGAAATAAAAACAGGATGACTCGAAAGACACAAAAGTATATTTTATACTATTTAATATTTTCTATAGATAAAACCTTTTTGTCTAAAAATGTAGTCAAAATACAATGTAACAACGCAAAAATTTATTTAAACAGTTTCCTGAATTATAGCTGATAAATCTATTTCGATCATTGGTCCTAATTCCGTCCGCCCGCGCATGTTGAAAACGTCGATACATACCTACATAATAAATGGCAGAATTTGTAAATTTGTTAACGTCATGCATTGCTTATCGGCTGATGAACGATACCAGCATGTAGCACTCATGCAGAGGCAAAGGTCGCAGGCAATTCGGAAAACTGCCGTGCACTTGTTATTAATTAATATTTGTTGTTGCTGTCGGTCGCTGTCGTCCAATGTGTTCGTTAAGCGTCGAAACCGTATGCGCGCTTCGAAACAAGTTTTGTGGGTTACAAATTGGGGCAATTAATCAAAGTTAAAATTAACACGAATGTAGGCAACCAACTGTACAAAAAAAAAACTGAACTGGCCACCATTCTAACATTTCCCCGAGTTTATAACCTATACAATTTGTAACGTTGGTGCACTACATTCAATATACAAAGTATAAATGTATGAATGTTTTACACTCGTTGTAAACACAATATTTTATCGCCCACTTGCATTTTTTAATAAAAGTTTTTTATACGCACATTCTTTCAATTTGTATGGTTTGTGCGTTAGAATCTTTTGTTCTTTTGTAAATTCAGCGACAAAAGTCATCCTGAATAAATAAAAACAATATGTTTTGTCCGTGGCATTAATAAAATATGCAGTCTTGTAATAATAACGCGTTGATCCTGTTTGCACCATCTTTTTCTGATCCGACGTCATTTAAACCTGCGCTTATACTCTGGGAATGTTAAATTAACGTCCATTTATTACGACACCGACAGCGCTGTTGTTTGGCCGCAGTACTATATAAAAGCATTCATTATGTGCATCGACGCCGTGCCACAGCACTTCATGCGTTGCCGTCATTGTTTTACGGTCGAGGCCATTATTAAATATTATTATTATTATCATTATTCTTGTTATAACCATCGCCCGCCGCTAATACTCGGACGATAATGCTAACCACAAATCAACATCATTGACTACATCATTTAAGCCAACAAGCAGCACGTAATAATACATAGAAAGTAAGTACTATAATATTGGTGAACTCAAAATAAGCCCACTCAATATCGCACAAGTTCACAAATCGCTATAATAATAACTGCTGGCTGAAAATCATCCAAAACTTACTTCGAAGTTATTTGCAAGGGCGTGATTCCAAAGATACAAAATTACTAAGTCGATTCATCAACGTCGCTGGGCTTCCAGGCGTTGCACGTCGAATGCAGTTTGGAGTTTAATCTATCGTCAACTGCATTCTGCGTACGCTACCCTCGTAAATCCAATCCAAGCAAAAAAATTAGTCAAACAAAAAATGAAACTTGTTAAACTAAACTTCTGGCCAAGTCACACGATCAAAAAATCAAAAACAACTTCGTTAACACAAAAAAAACTTTCTGCTGTAATCTCTAAACAATCCACGTCAACGGTTATTATATAAACATTATATTGTTCAAGTTTTAATGTTATTATATATAGTGCAGATTGCAATCACCTTAGAGTAGAGGAAAACTCCCAATGTTCAGCATCAGAGAAGGAAGTTTCCAACAAAGTTTCAACTACGTACTCTGTTCGAGACTGGAACAACGTGGAAACGTGGAAATCACAATTCTGCCATGCATTTACAATGTAGGTAATGATTTGGTTACGGAGAGTCACATCCACCCGTCTGACATCCTCATGTACAGAGAGCGGTAGTGATGTGTTTCATTAGCTCCTTGTAGGTTCGATTCATTAGCGAACGGACACAGAGCGCGCTGACAGTGTAAAGCTTGCGGACGTGAGATGGCCGAGCAGTAAAGGGAAACAGCGAGGTACGCTGTAATGATTTAACAATGACGGCTTAATGGCTGGACGGTTTGCCGAAGGCATTATTAACACGTATTCTCTGCACTTTGCTGCAATACTATTTGAGGTTTGTATTACGTATAAAATATACTTACATCTAGATTTTGCTAATTTTGTGTTTTATTATCTGTACATTCCTGTAAATATGCTCGACAAATTTCAGCTCACTTTTATTGGCAATTAATCGCGTTTTAATACCGCTTTAGGCATTTTACAACTTATCAAAACGTCGTTTTACGGAATTAAGTTTATTGGAAGTTACTGGTTCCAGCTTGTCGATAACGCATAATTAATTAACTTTCAAACCGTAAATGTGTAGTTCGCAAAGTTTAAACGTAAGAAGTTAAACTTATATTTGATTGTTTCAAGAGACATTAAATTTGCGTCTCGTGATTAGATTAAAATTTGTTTTATTCATGAACATTAATTAAACTCAGCAAATATATTTAAGCCATTAAATTTTATTAATAGAATGCTATGCATTTGCTTTGTTGTTAATGTTTTAAAACACTAATGACAATTTCCTATTCAAGTTTCAAGTCAGTTTTGACAAATGCTTATCAGTTCCAAATTTAAAATCACAACGAATCATCATCATCCACACTTCACTTCATCAACTTCAATCATGAACATTCCAATCGATAGTGAACCAGTTATACTCGACCAAGAAGATCCAGACGCACCACCCATGCAATTAATTTATCCTGAAGAAAGCGAAGATGAATTTGGTCGGCCACGCACGCAACAATCGGTTACGTCAACTTCAGTCTTGTGCAATGGTTTGATAGAACAAAAAACAAATAAACAACAACCGTCAAATTCATGGCATGTCATAAGGAATCAATTGCATAACCAGGCACGACTTGAACAGCGATTTCCGTCAACAAAGCATCATAAAAATCATCATGAGTCGTGCGCTTGTCGAATACAAGATTTTCATCCAATGGACGAAGCGCCGTCGCCTTGTTCAACATCGCTTACAACAAAAACTGAAATTAATCCTAGGCAATTTATCCACTTGAAAAGTAAAACTAATTTACGTTATGTGATGGAATCACTGTTAACAGCTGCAATGACACATGAAATGGAAGCTACTGATGCGTATCAGTCAATGTATGAACATTACAATTCACTTAACGAATGCCTTGCGTACGTCTCACAATATTTGGATTGTATATGTTTGGAAACCAGAAGCCTTTCGCGTCTTTGCGCGCACATTTCACGCGCAAACCTCGTAAGTTTAGAATCAGAACATGCTGATGAGAATTGCACACTTAGCACACTCCTGAATCAACTAAGTTCACGCAATTCAAGTGAATATTATTGGATGAAGAAGGAGATTGCGGCCGAACTTGACGCAACTGCTGACGTGAACGAATTAATTCGTAACTACACAGAGAAAAAGAATGATTTTCATAAAGCTATTCAAAATATGCGTGTGATACTTGATACGAATTTTACAACTGGGCAGTTGCAGAAATTGAAGAAACAATTTGATCTGATCCAGGAGAAATTTGTAAATAGTCGTAAAAGATTAGAAAGAAAATTACCAAAAATAATTTGTCGTAAAAATCAAGTGCTTGTGAATACGTTTGGAATGCTGGCTGAGGATATGCAATCAACAGCAAATGATAAAAATGATTTTGCAGTTGTTTGTCAGCATTTGGAAACTGGATTACGCGATAAAATTAACGACATTAATATGGATAGTCAATGTAATAATTCTGACACTGTACAAAACGATGAAACTAATTTAATTTTTTAAATAAAATATAAAATTAAACACATAGTTTAAAAGTGTAAATTGAGCAATAAATATGAATTGAATAATAAAATTCATTAACAATAAATTTACCAGATGTCGCTGTTAACACTTTTGATATGACAGCAGTAGAATTCTACTTTATCGACTTGCATTTCAGTGCTATTTATATTTTATTTTTAAGAAATATTTATAAAGTTATATAAACTAGTATCGTAGCATCGATGATAACGTATCCTTACTTAACTTGCATCTGCGATTTTCGAATTGCAGTTTTCTACAGCTTCAGCAAACTTGCACACTGCCCGCAATATAAGTTTGACTAAACTTATAACTGCCCATATTTTAAACTCTAATCCTTAGCACTTTACCCATGTATACAGCACGTACTCAGACCTTATCCAAGCTCTAATACACTGCGCAGTCACCAAGTTATGTCGTACCCCTCTCCCAAAGTCGAAGTATTAAGTTGCCACCAACAATTTCCAACAAATTATAGACGCTTTTCCAACAGCAGCCATCAGAGTATATTTGGCGATGCATTTCGATTTTTAATAAATTTTTGTGCTTGAAAACTTCGTTTGGTGCTAAATCTACGCAGTGACATCAACTGCTTTATGCGTCGCTTTGTAAATAGATGGCAAAAATAAAATCTAACTCGATATCGATAACTTTGCGCTTGTGCTAGCCATGCAACGCAGTAAAACCTAAATTTAATGCAACGCGGCGGACTAGAAACGACTTAGAATGTGCGCACCAAGTTGCAATTCGCAAACTCAATATAAACTACCGCCCCGAATTGATAAATAATGCCTACGAAATTGGCAAACGCAAAAGTAGCAGAAAAAAACCTCTTTGGGCAATAAAATAATTCACTGAATCCTAAAAGTTCTTTAAGTATGTGTAAATATGTTATAAATTTCTATTATTCACAAATAAAGTGTAAAAAATAAATAAATAGTATTGAAGCAAGAAGACTGATTATTAATCCAATTAAAGTTTGATAAATTTCCAATTTTATCCCTTTCATAGATCCCAAATATAAAAAGTAGGAAGCAACGAGAACAAAAGTATAAAACGTAATAAATATGATTTATGTAAACGATTTGTTATTGCATTGTGAGGCGTAAGAGCAAACGCCATCTAGAAACGCCTTCCGATGAACAAACGAGCGCGCCGGGCGACTAAAAAGATATCAAAGGATTATTTATGAACTCCCGTTATGCATACAACGAACGTAAACGCAAAACGTGAACCGGATCTCAAGCTCATACTCTTAGATGCCGCGACGAAGAAAGAAGAACGATAAAAAGATGCGACTCTCTCTCGGGAGAGCGATGCTAGAAACGATGGCAAGTTGTTATGTATCACCGAAATATCTCTCCACTTGCTACGCGGTTCCGAAAGGTGCGAGACTGGTGTATGCCGCATGTGGAAGAAGCAAGTGGAGCAAATATTTTTGCGGTCCACTGAACGCAGCGCGCGCGGATTTTGTATTGACAATCATTTTTCATTTCGAAAGTGCAGATGCTGGAGCACTCAGTCAATCTTATTCAACTTTTAGCAAGTATGGAAAAGCACGACGCATGTACACGCGGAGGGCGTGAATGGCGAGATGCGATGAAATTTCCGTCATGCGAATAGAAATGTAAAATATATTGATAGTCTTCCAAACTTCATCGCCATCATGTTTCTTGATAAATGAAATTCAAATGTGTTGTATCTTAATATCACGTACATAAATCTCGTGGTTAACGAGGTAAAATTAAGCAAACCTACGCGGCCTTACCTTACCGCGCAGACTTTTAATTTGTTTAAACTGTTTTTACCACGTGCAATTTCCTGCAATTTGCAGTGGATACAGAAAACCCAAACGTAAACAAACAAGAACAAAATCGTTGGAATTAAAACGCGGCGAAACAGCCAAGCTTGGAATAAAATGTTTTTATATTTTATTTACACTGCACGCCGAGCTTGGTCTTGTTAGGTATTTTCGCGTCGTTCCCCTTCGATGTTATTTTTAACGTCTGTGGATTTTTTGCGTCGTTTTTCTAAGCGTTTTGCCGCTGTAGGAACAAAAGTAAACTTCGGCCCAACGAGAAACACGTACAAAAAGCACTAGAAAACTAACAAACTCTGCAGTCGAGAAAGAGTGTGGCTGAGCGGGGGGTTGTACTTCCCTCAAGCCTGATTCCCGTTTGAACTGAGTTCACGTTTCCGGTTGCCAAACTTCTTGATTTTTTTCTCTTCATTTTTTTTCTACAAATGCTTTTTCTCTGTTACTGGTTTAGTTTTTTGCTTATTTCTTAATCAATTATTCCAAATGTCTTGATTTCTTGCATATTTATTTCACAAAATAACAAAAATAAAAAAATTTTCTTTAAATTCTGAAAACTATTGTTTGAGAAAAGCATTCATGTAGACATAATTAGTTAGGTTAAAGGGCGCGACACGATGATTAATTAACATATCGGTTTATTAATCGACAACGTTGTAATTATCTCCAATTAATCTTGGCTACCTCCCTCTTCGTAACATAGAATGCAAAATCTGGAATTTGCATGTGGATTTCCATTTCCATTTCGTATTTAGCACCGCCCATTCTCCTTGTTCATTTTGCATACTTCACTCTTTCCATTTGCGCCCACATTTCCATTTTGCCCCATGCAACGGCTTTCAGTCTGATGAATCCATTGAGGCGTCGCCTCTGCGTTTCATCCGCTTCATCGTTTCATCCGATTCGCCTCCGCATAAACGTTGGGGCCAGCAACTGCTCGCTGCCACAATTCTGTTCGTCTGGTTGCCTACTTCGAGCCACCCACGTATGGTTGCCCGGCGCATCCACAGCTTAATGGCGACGTATTTACATTTGTTTACAAAGGACGCGCCTAAACGTGCGTTATTCACAACTAAACAACGCGCAATCGAAGATTAGGAATGCCTGTGGTTGTCTGCTTTGTGGGTTGATTTATCGCGCCCTAGATATTAAATCCTACTCAACTATATTTACTACTAGTAAGCACTATATAATTGCATAACATAAAAATAAAAATAAACGAAAATTAAATGCTATGCTGCGCGTAATTTCATCAAAGCTTTGTCGAGCTTACTGCTACGCTTTGATTTTAATTAACGTTTATTTAGCGCACAAATAACAAAATAAATATTACGAATATTATTTGATGACATCCCCAATTAAAATCGGATAATGACATCGCATAGGCTTTCCCCAACACACAAATACCAACTTAGTGCTTAATGTAATGGAAAAAAGTTGATTGCATTGAATTTGCGTTCACATATTGCTCTCGTCGGTTTCTCATATAATACGAGCACGGAATATGAAAAAAAATAAAAACAAACAAAGCTGGGGAGCGGAAAGAAAGCGAAGCCGTGTTCCGGATTTGGATACGACGCTACTACGCGACGCATGCCGTAACGAAATCGTACATTACGTTTGTAGGTAGGATGCATTACGCGCGTACATCTTCCATTATCTCGTTCCCTCAGACTTTTTCTTTGTGGCTTGCCTAAAAGAAAAAGCCGCTTTTCGGTGCCTGCATAAAGAGCTTGGATTTGAATAAGAATCTAGAGTATTTATGACTTTGAATTCAGCGGAAAATGAGAAATAACTAAAATTTGTAGGTGTCTCCCGACATCACAAAAATAAAATGAAGCCATGAATATAGATTTAAATTTTTACCTCAACAAAAATTCATTTTTATAAGAATATTCACTGTAAATGTTATTGAATGTGGATTATCCATTAATATAAGATTAATTTTATTTAATAGGTAATTTATAGCATACGCGTATCAATGGAATTAATTTTCAATAGAATTAATCCAGCTTTAGATATTGTCTACTATTACTAGGCATGACAGATTATCAACATTTGAATTACCAATTGGGCTGTGATTAAGGTGCTTTACAGCTTACAATTTTGTTAAATTCAAAAGCGGACGAAATAAACGCAATTTTCCGCATTTTATCTCAATATCTCTACTCTACCTGTACACTGCAAACTTTCGCATACAAAGTAAATTTTATTTATTTATAGCGGACAATAATGTCGCTGTACTTGACTGAATTTACAAACAAATATTCATGTTTGTTCTAGGCTCTCTGTGACAGTGTGACATGCATGGTCGGTGGGAATTGCCTTTTAAAAATTTCATCCGTACGAGAGCGCGGCTGCTCGACGAAGCGTCATCAAGCGTACACATGAACTCTCCGAGTCACTCATACCTCTGATGCCGCCAACTCCACTAATACCAGGACATGAACATGAACATGTTATGATCTTCCGGCGCACAAACATATGTAGACGTAAGTTTTTTGCACCGATGTTGGTGTTGGCAGTGTGTGCGCTAGTTCTTCCGAGTGTGTGGGTTGCGCAAAGTGCTTCGCGCTGTGTTACCAGTGTTATTCTATAGAGATATATAGAGATAACAATGTGTAAAGGTCGTTCACTTCTTGTGGGTCACTGCACATGCGAATTTCATATTCTGGAAGTGCACGGGGTTTAGTTTGGAGTCCATCAAGGACTAGGAGTATATTTTATTAACGCGAATTTGTAGAGAGTGTGAGGCATGAAATATTTGCTTTGTGCGACAGAAATGAACGAAAAACAACGTGAAACAGGGAAATAATCTTATTACAAGAACTTTCAAGTGTCAAAGTCAAAAGTTAAGCTTAAATGTCATAAAGATCTTGTCTCTACATATCGTAAAACGTGAAAATTTTATATTCAATTTGTAAATGACAGAAATCAAATGAAAATGAAAGAAAAATATGCAAATTTGTTAATTTACGTTTGAGAATATTGCGAAAACAATTTTAATTGCCTTAATTTATTTCATAAATAAAGTAGGTAAGAAATGTAAAAAAAGATAATAAGTTTTTTAGCAACCATTTTTTTAAGCATTCACGGCACCATACCACCGAAGTGCCTTTTATATGTGACGAACGCAAACGGCGATAAACGACGACTATAAAAAAGGCCACTTTGGGGTCATAGCGACGAGCGCATTCAAGGGTTCCATTCAAATAATCGCCTGTGGTGTGGATTCACTCCCCAAAAAACAAGCGTGGGTGTTTGGTGCTTTTAGTTGAAGACTAAAAAGAACAACACAAACACCATAAAATATTTGTACACTATCAAATTGTATCTGAATAGATAATAAATTGATATGAATGATTAAATGACGTAGGAATTGTAAAATATTATGTTTACTCCCTAATACCTATGAGTAATGCCATAATTAGTAGATAGGTATGATATCTTTAAAGCGTAAAATGAAAGTTTCGAATCGGATTTTAATTATATTTATGCCTCAAAGTGTAAAGTTGAAAAAGCTTTCATATGCTGTAATTGGAATTTCTCGCGTCGAGCGGTAGGCAAATGTTTTTCGCAAATTTCGTCAAACTTGTAGAAAGTTTCGGTTTTACTGCGTTAGATCGCGTAACGGTTTTTACATTCTCGCACGTTTGTAGAAACGCTCGCGAAACTAGTAATGAACACATTCGCCGTACTCAAAAAACGCGCATCCCACGCGTTAATGGACTTTTCGCACAGTTTTACACTGTTTTTTTTTCGACAATTTAAACTATTTTACAAACAAAATTCAAAGTAGAAAAAAACTCTAACGTTTCACAAGTACAGTTATAAATTTGATGAAGTATCTGCAGATTTCCTTGTTACTTATATTTATTTTCATTAGTTTTTCGGCAAAAAAATTAAGTTTTCAAAAAATTTGTTTTTCCACCAAGAAAAAATAAATAGCAGTTACTCTGAAGACCAAAGATTTTGCATATTTACAAACTTTAATCGCCCTACTTCTCGAGCCGGCTATGAATATAAAGGCACTATTATTACGTGAAGACAAAAATTCAAACTTCCCCAGCACGGTTACCCTTGGCCGAAAATAAACATTACGCCTCATGTGTGTGCGCTACAAGTTTCGCACGAAACGCAGGAAACAAAGCGCGGAAAGCGTTGAAGCATCGCCGACGATTTCGACGCGTCGAAACGCTGCTGCTCTCGCTCGAAGCATAAACACATCGCATCGTCGGGGCGAGTTTGCAGGCGTGCTCCGTTTAAATATTAAAACACTAAATTAAAAGCGCACGCCGCGCTCGCGCCACTATAAAATTCAATTAACCTTGCGCTAACTTATTTATTTGCGCCGGAATTAGTGCGGAACGGTTAATTTCATCTGCGCTGGTCGTACGCTCGCTCCTCGCTGCTGATGTGCATTGTTGCTTTGTTACAACAAACAGTAATGCAAAACACACAATGTGGATGGTACCTTTTTGCAGTTTTGCATTAAACAAATTAAATATTACTAAATATCTTGAAAATTATAGAAGAAAAGGTTGCTAAATATCTTCACCAAGTTAAAATAGAGTCACGTGAATTCAAAGCACAATAATTTGTTGTAAAAATTCTCATCCAACAAACAATACGCACGTATTGTCTTCTCGCTAGAAATAAATGATGTTAAAGACCTCAACCGGAAGTTGAGACACATTCCTGAGCGCTGAACTTTTCTAATTTAAATTTTACCCGACGACGCGGTCTCCTTTTCGCTGAAGAACTAATGCGAAAGGCATAAAACGAGCACCCATGACGACCGACGACGACATCGCCGAAAGAACAAAAGTACGACTGCGGAGACGTTTCACTCGACGGGGTCGTAAAGAGACAAAACATTTGCGACCTAAGATTGCGTTCGGCGAGCGGGCGCGCAAACGACAGCGATATTGTTTCTCGTCCTGCGTTTCATGTTTCACAGTCGCACGTTTGGGGGCGACGAGTTTCCAGTTTTCATTTTTAGTCGCCGTCGTCTCGTTTAGTTTTGTTTGTTGCTCGCAAGGTGTGCGGGGGCATCAATTTGCCCGAGCGAACAATTCATCGCGACGCTTAGTCGAATGCACTTTGCATTCAACGGCGCGCTTTTTCATTTTGTGGCACGAGTTTAAATTAAAGTGGGAATACTTGTCGAGCGCGACGACAAATCATATCCGGGGTTCATAAAAATTGTTAAGCGCAAACAAAAATTTTATCACTTACTAATATCCATGGAAGTTGTAAGCATGATTGGCGGTATCCACAGGAGGAATACAAAACGCCAATACTCCATTGCTCGAATGGCCATCTGGAACAGAAAATAATTTTACATTAATAAAAAATTTATTACTGATGCTATCAATATAAATATCACATGAGCCAGTTAGTGAATATGATTTTTATTTGTAGCATATTTGTTTTTCTGATTCTTTGCTCGTAAAATATGCATTTTCACGAAATTGAAACGTCACTATCAATTTATCAATATGCGCGGAGAGTGTATTTATTCAGCGGCGACGTTGGGTGTTTGCACAATGTGGCGCATTGTGTGCGCTGGTCGAGCGTGATAAATCCGCGCCACTCGCACCTCCCGTGCCCTCCTCGCCGCCCCCGCCTGTCACATACGCTTCGCATCGGGACGCGCGCGGGCAAATAATAAAATATCAACCGATTGAATATGGGCGTCAACGTTGGCTGCCTCTCGCATGCTCAACCGCGGCGCGCCACCCACGCACTCGTATGCAAAATACACACCTGCGTGTAACGCGGGTTTGTAAAAGTAGACTGATGCCCTCGGCACATTGCATTGCATTGTTACATATCCATTATGCTTAACAAACAATAGGAAGCGGACGATTGCGAAGCGTTGTTGTAGAAACGTAGGCGCACGTTAGCGCATATTTGCAAATGTTAGTAAAGCTTGTGCATGTTTTCGAATGTTATGAGCGCCAGCGAACATTCATGATTGTTAGCAAACGTTTCAAAATGCATACAAAGTTGTGCGCGTGTAGTCCGCAAGGAATTTGCAAGAGTTAATTTTGATTAATTTTGATTAAAATGCGCTCGAGGTGCTTACTGCCAATTGTACACTATTTGTCAAACTGAAAGCTACAATCACAATCCAAGCTATAACGTAAATTTATTATCCGAAAATAGTAAATTTTTTACGAGCTCTTCAAGCTCTTCAAATATTTTTCACAAAAGAATGAATAAAGTCACTTAATCCAGGTACTTTTGTATTTTTGAACGAGTGAAATCAATCGAACGTATTTTAGGCAGCGATTTAACTATGCTTTGAAAACGTTAACCCATAGAAATTCGAAACTATTGCCTCTTGCTTAATGCTCATTGCGTTTGCGCCCTTATTTACTCAAGTGGAGGCGGTGTGTGCCGGGCCGCTCGCCGCGCAACTTGCAACTTTCCCAGTCGTAAAGCGCGATTTTCCCCAAACGCCATTCTACATTTAAGCGCACGGCTGAGAGTTAAATCTGTCAGCCGTGGATAAAAGCGCGTTGCGGCTTGGCCTATTTAGCAACTGCCACACTACACCAGTCGTTTCTTGTTTCTTCACACGCTTCTCTTCTTGGGGGTCCTTGCAGATACGCAGGGAGCTTGAGTCGGCTTCAATTCGGAAAGCACAAAATAGACTTTAGCAAACGAGTGAAAAGACGCAAATCAACGCCGATCAAATTTCAATCGTATACGTGAGTATTTACACGTTTGTGTTAGTTGTAGTTTGTGAATAAAAAAAGAATAATAATTTTTTTGTTTTAACAAGTCTTCTGCTTATTGCAATTGTTCAAAAAGTTAAAACCACTGAATATAAGGCAAAATATCAACAGTAACTCTCAATTTTCGAGCAAATCTCGACGAAAAATCAACATCCGAGTTCAACAAAATTTTACCGAAGCGCCAAGTAAAACAAAACCCAAACAAACAAAAAAGTCCTGAAAAAACTAAACCGTTCATATACTGCGTATTAAAAATATACAAATTATTATTGTAAGAAATAATAAAACCTCCTTTTTCTAAAACTGAACTAGGAGCCACTGAAGCAAAAAACAATTTTAAATTATTTTTGTCATTAAAATGCAAAACTTAATGCATAAATACCTATTTTTCTGATTAAAAAACCCCGATGCTTACCATAATATTATGAAAAGAATAAATTATTGACATATAAATTCATATTTAATTATAAATTGAATAATTATGAATTAAAAACCGCTGCCACCGCATTCATATTAATATTTAAATTAATAATGACTAAAAAGATGCACAATGCGGTTGCTATAAATAACTGATTTTGCAGCAGTGCACATTAAAGAACAAAAACAAACGACAAAAACAAGCGTATCTCAAAGCTAAATAGCTTATTGCATCAAATAAATACATTTTTGGTTGTTATTTATTCAAAAATGCGAAATAAATTGCAAATAGGTCGGTGCTCTGCATTAAAACCATATTTTAATTCCTCCCAGCAGACAAAGGCGGCAGGAAACCAATGCTTCCGAAATTTAAATGCAACCAATACACTTCACAAAATATAAAATAAATATAAACTTGATTAATTTCAATTGATATCATGCATATTGCCCTCATTTCAATAAAATGATAATTATTTATTTTAAATTATGATTATGCCGCTGGGTTTAAATTTGAATTTTATTATGTTTAGAAAAATTGAAATTTTTATGCGATATTTTATTTGACTAGTTAATCATTTCAACGCTAACCAATTAATATTACTCGTATAATTATAAATATTGCGTTCATTGTGTGAATTTAATTGAATACTATTTTTCACTAGCTGTTCACGCACATTTAATTTTAATTCGAATGAATATGCAATGAAAAGTCAAACATTGTTTCCACTGTTAATTATTAGGTGATATTTGATTGCATCGACTACATCGAATGTTTCCTATATATTTTCTATCGAAATACACAGTGTTGTAAACAGGAAAATATTTTATTGAGAATAAATCATTGACTAATCAATAAAAATCAATATTTCAATTGTTTTGAATTGATTTACAAAATTCAAAGTAATTTATGAAGGTACTTCTTTTAAATACTTTTAAATACTTTATAAAAAACAATAAAATATTGTTTTTCTGAGAGAGTTTTGACTAAAATTTGTATAAAATATTAAAATTTTTTGTTTCATCGTAAAACCCAAAAAACTGATTATTCATTATTTTTTTTAAATTTTTTATAAATTTAAGAATAAAAATGAAAACAAAAGCCAACTAAAACAATATTGACTTGTTAATTTCAATAACCAATAGCAAATAATTAATTTAAACCAAATTTACCCGTTGCTCATTTGTTTGCTTTCATGTTTAAATTTTAACTTATAAATATACCTCATCAACTTATTCCTGATGGTTGTTTACCCACCGCGGACTAACGAGTAGCTGGTAGCTTACAAAGCGCTCGCGTCTTGTTTGTTAATCATTAAACGTTCGTAATGCGTTTCCGAGTGTAAATTAATAAATTCGAGGGCACCGCACGCACTTTGTGTGTCGCTCAGACCCATCCCGCAGACTTGTTTGGTCTGGATTTCACTGGCACGAAAAGGATACGGGTAAGCAAGGGTAAGTACACTTCATGTGTGCGGCGTGTGGTCCGGAAACAATTAAACCTTTAGGCAGGAAAAAAAATAAACAGCAACCTAAGCGAGGCAAAAGGTAAAGAGAAAGCGGTGAAAAAGACCACTGTAGGTGCTGGGCTGTTTGTTTCCGGTTATCTGATTTAGTACTGCTCACACAATCGCTATATAGGTATCGGTTTATTTAAAATTTCAAAAATTATTTTTTTGCTTTTTTTTCGCTTCTCGTACCGCGGAAATAAATTCATTTGTTTTATTTGTTTTTTAAAACTTTTATTTTCGTTGTGTGTGAGTTGCTGCATGTCGGTTGACCGTCGTTGATCCTTGGTATATTTTTGCACACCTCGCTCTCCCGAAGGCGGTCAGTAGCATTGTCCTTTTAGATTTTTTGCACTTCTTCTACTTTTTGTTCTTGTGTTTTCCGGCCCCGACATGGAAAATGTGCGCGGCACAGAAATAAATTTGAGCGGAGCGCGACCCGCACGCGAATAAACACGTACGCATCGCACAAGTTACTTATGTCGCTGTCCCGTATTTTTTTTTTGTGCGTCAGTAGGAAAAAAGAGCGACAAAAAGGACAATGTGGAGAGTGCACAAAGAGACAGAGTACGAGTCAGCGTGCGTATATCACATGCGCTGGGGCCTAGCTGTTTCCCTTTTATGCGCGCAGCCCGCATAAAATCCTTGCTCGCGTAACCTTCTCTACGTCAACTGGGATTCGCCAAACAGGATTTGCAAAACAATTTACACCGATTGCCACCAGCGTATATGAGATGCAAAAACGGGATACGCGCGTGAAGGGACGCTAACTGCTGTTATGGAAATTCAAATTGTCAATTCAAGAATATTATCAAAGCCACGCTCATATTTTAATACGGTAAAGGTTTATAATAAATGTAAATTTTAAGGTTACTTAAGTTATTTAAAACCGCCAAGAAGTTTGTGTGGTTTATTTTTTATTTTATTTAATTTTTGAATTTATTAACTAATAATAAAGGACAAGAAGAACAATGCTGTATTTGGCACATACAAAAATGTTTTTGAATTGTAAACATGTTCATTTGTTTTCATTTATAAAAACATAAATTTAATACAAAAAAATATGCCGGAAATACTTTTATAAATTTTCCCGGAAACCTGTCGCTCACATTTATAACAAATATATTTATAACCTTTTGTACCAATGCGCTATAATTAAAAAAGTTAGTTAATTTTTTTTTGGGTTAAAAAAATGTTTATGTTTATACTCGTATTTATGCATTTTAAAGATATAAAAACGCGAAATATAGCACAACATTTAAGCGCGAGCTCATCCGACCAATTTTACGATCCTCTGTTCAATTGCCCTCCTTGTTCTCATCTGGCAGTACCCGCCGTAGTTTCAATGGCGACGCGGTATTCAGCTAATGGGCGCAAATAATTTCGTTATCATTTTACGCTCCGGCGTGTAACTGTTTAATGGTTCGCACACGATAATGCTAAATGAAGTATTCGACCCTGCCCCAGCGCGACACTCTACGATTTGCAAAGGCGCAACGCGTTTAATAACAATAACTATAATAAACATAATAAATGCTCCAAATGTGCATGCTTCAATAAATTTAAATGAACCAACACCAAAAGAAATGCTTAACACAATAAATACTAAAATTCAAAAGCAAAAATTTGTTATATATTTGTTAATTCCTGCGCTA